TCATGTTCCCCAAAAAAAACGAAATGACTTTCCGAACAACCCAATAATATTAACATTATTCTTAATCTCAAAATTCTTTGGCTGCTTATTCCTTCCACTTATCTCGGACACAATAGACCAAGCAGTTTTATTTTGATTATCTGACTATAAAATTTTTCGCCCATAGTAGCCTTTTTTTGTTAAATTTATTAATTTTTTAATAAAATAAATTAAACTATTTAATTTTTTTAGATGTTTGCTAGAACTCTTTACTGACGAGGAAACTCATGATTTCTTGTTGGGACATTGAGAACGGGTTTTTAAAAGAAACTGTTTGTTAAAGTAACACAGGAAAGTAGAGTGAAAATCTGAAGTAAAAACTCTAATATTATTTTTGTTAAATAATGGCATAATGACTCTGCAGTTAATTACTGGTACCAGGCTTTTTTTTTTTCTCGGCAAAACTATCAGTGTTTCTTGGGGTGACTTTTTTCTTATATGGTTATATGGTGAAAATGCTCTATTGTCTCGCAATACCTGCCTTTTAAGAATGTAAACGCCGCGGTCAAAGAACTATTTATGGTAGGCCATAATTTAAAAATTAAAGTATAAATGACTCATAATGATTAGATTAGCTGGGAATAACAAAATAATTGGAGTATGTAATGCACCGGTCGGCCATCTGACTATGTGCCGACAGCGGTGTGAAACTAGTCAATACCGCGTGAATTCATATCTCGATATGTATTAGAGAATTCCATCGTAAAGTTATTTCCTAATTGTTGACGATTGCAAAAGAAATGAAATCTTTGCTCTCCCACGTTGCTGAACCCACTTAGTTACAATTAATTGCAAACACTTGGTCATCAAGAGTAGTTACACCCACTGACATGTAAGCTTGTGTGTGTTAGACGATTCCTAAAAGTCAGGAAGTTATTAAGTTTACATTAAAGAATATATGAATATCCGAATGAGGCGGTTTCAGTTCGAACTTCAGCTTTCCGTGTTTTTCTAATTCGATTATGATTTATTTAAAATGACGTTAGCTGTTTATGTAAATTATTTAGCGATATAAATTGTTAATGAACCTGCTGTTACTAATCTTTGCTCGAAGGCTATCCATCATTAACCGCATGCGTCATTATACAGGGTGTTTTAGAGATCGTTGAGTTACAATGCAAGAAAAATTTATAAAATTCGGCATTGGTTCCATGTCATGATCTTATTGCTTGTTTCACTTTTTTGCATCTTTCCTCCAACATTTCTTATCACTACTTATTTTCTCAGTGGCTATGTTATGAGTAAATTTATTTTTGTTTTGAAAAATGTGTTTTTTTTTCTTTTTTTTATTTTGGTGATACTATCTTGTTAATAACTATTTTGAGAGATATAAGTAGTTGCAAGTTAAACTTGGTCACTTTTTTTTGTATTAGCTACAATAAGTTAAATAAATATTATGTTATTGCTATTAGTAATAATTTTATTGTTCAGGCCAATGACAAATAACATTATTTTAAAGTTATCATTAAACGAAATTCACTCAATAGCAAAAAAAACCCAACACTGAATTTTTTTGTAAAATTTAAAAAGTCGCTCACAGCTTTTAATTTAATTAATTTAATTTAAAATATTGTTGTGTCGTTTGATAAAAGTTGGCGTTTTAGTAATTATACAAGGTAGTCGCCAAGTGACGTTAATTTTAAAACACGCTGTGGAAGAATGTCAGGCCCTTGTGATATCTATGCCTATTAAATTGTTAAATTATTCTAATTAATATAAAAAGTTATTATGGTCGGTTCTAGTTTAATAAATTAATTTATATTTGATTTACACTCCACAAAAAATTGTTCTTATAATAATCTGAAGCGAAGCTATTTTAGTGTTTTGAAATTATAGCTATATTAAAAATTATTTAGACATATGGCCGAATATATAGTTGTTAGGGCTCGTAGTATACCAATTTATTTATTAATGATTTTATTTTACTCTATTAATAATAATAATGCCTTTATTTTGCAGTATATGAAAAAGTCGGATTGGAGCAACGAGATGTAGCTTGTAGCTACCCATATCTAATCACTTAGTGCAGTTACTAACAAGATTACAAACGAATTTTTCGAAACAAAAAAAATGTATTCATAACATTGCCATTGTCAAAGTAAGGAGTAGCAAGGATAGTAAGACTATTTGCAAATCTTCTGGAACACTCAGAAAATCCCTATACCTCGTAATTTCCAAAGCAGTTTAAGCCAATTTGAATTTGAATATGAAGCAGAGACATGATGAAACTAAACTTTATGCAGCTGTTTTGTAATTTTTTTTTATTTTTCTCTCTTCATGATGAAAAGCGCGCCAATATAACACACTGCAGTGTGCCAGTCTCACATAGTTTGAATTTCCCTCGATGGGTAAGAAGGTGTTTGAGCAGATAACAGGTCTTGAGTTTACAATAATTTTGTTGGAACTACAAGCGTGAGTTTAAATCTCTTTTTTTTAGCAAAAAATAGGCCTAAATTTTGTACTTGAACTTGGAATGAAAATTGAGATTGAGAAAAAGTAAATTAGAACAAAAAATGTTCAGAATTTCACAGTTTTTAATGCTTTATGACAGCTGTTTCGCTAACACCGTGCCTTTATCAAATACAAAATATGACTATATTCCGACACTTATATATAAAAGCAGGTAGTAATGGATTTTTTTAATTACAGGTATAGGGTTATAAATTTAAATTTAACAAGGGAGGCGCATTTAAATCCAATTTGTCATTAAGTAATAAATTTTGTTAATCTCAATAGCTTCCAACAAATTTAGTTTTTTGCTTTTTGAATGATTATGTAAAATATCAAAATTATCGTCAAAGTTGTCTATTTCTGAATTTAAATGAATGGCATAGTTAGAATCCGAACTTGTATTTTTATACAACCTTTTATGTTCGTTAATGCGTTTTTTAAATGTCCCCCCGATATAAATTTTGGGACAAGATCCACATTTCAACTTGTAGACTCCGGATTTTTGAGTTTTTCGTAATTTAGTTTTAATGTATTTTAGAAAATGTCATATGGTGTTTTCAGTTCTATAAGCAATATTAATACCAAATGTTTCGAAATTTTCTTGCTAGGTTCTCTTATATATCTTATTATTTTATAAATTTTGCTTCCGGTGTTTAATATGGGATAGATAGAGTTCAGAGTTATTTAAAACTGCTTTTTAGTTATAATCTTATCAATAAAAATTAAATATACAACTTAAATACAAAATAAAAATACAACTTCGGATTCTAACTATGCCATTTATTTAAATTCAGAAATGGACAACTTTGACGATAATTTTGATATTTTACATAATCATTCAAAAAGCAAAAAACTGAATTTGTTGGAAGCTATTGAGATTAACAAAATTTATTACTTAATGACCAATTGGATTTAAATGCGTATACGTATTGTTAAATTTAAATTTATAACTCTATATCTGTAATTAAAATTCTATTACTACCTGGATTTTATATATCAAGTGTCCGAATGTAGTCATATTTTGTACTTGATAAAGGCACGGTGTTGCCGAAACAGCTGTCATAAAGTATTAAAAATTGTGAAAAATTTGTCTTGAATGGATTTTCATCAAGTAAAAGCCACCTCAGTCTGATAATTGAGATATTATTTGAAAGTCATAGAGCTGAGATAGTTAAGATAATGTCAGAAGTTAGAGTCAGAGAACATTAATATGAACTATCAACTAACCAAAATGTCCCATCGATATATCACACACCTTGTGAATATAAATAATCTAAATCAAGGTCGAAGTTGTCTTCTTGGGCGCCCAAGTTTTGCAGGTGTTTCGCTCCAACGTTGGCGGTTTGCTTTTCATCTCGCATCTATTTATTACCGAATTGTTGATACTTTGTAACATACGAAGTTTATCCGATACCATTCTCGGATAATTACGTAGTCGAAGGTCGTCACTTTTACATACGTGCTCGCCAATGCTCAGAAGCAACAAAGAATTAAATTACTATCACAAACGCGTGTGTCTGGAAAACCTTAGACTATCGATATGGGTTTGTGTAATAATTTTCCAATAATCAGTTAATTTGTTAATTTGAGTATCCATAATAGATATAACAAAAACATACACGGTTTTCCATGCCAAATATTAAGTATGTCTGGTTTTTTTACAGAAAAGTATAAGAAGCATACTCTCTACAATATTTGTTATGAGAAAATTTTTAAAGAGTCCGCAATCCAAACTTTCGAACTGGAGGGTCTAGTAAGAACGAAAATATATTTATTGCACACAAAAAGCTAATCTTAGGGTTGAAGTTTAAGTTGTACTTGTGGATTTAAAGAAGAAATGTGGTGGGTTTTTGAGGGGTAAAATTAACTATTACAATTCCGCTTTCCTCTGACCAGACTAAATAAAGAAAATAATTTTGTTTTTTTAAAACTATTTTTTTCTGAAATAAATGCCCCACAAAAACTATGTTATAATTTTTTTTTAATTTTATTTTCTATTTTTGTCTTGAGTGTGATTTTTTTGTCCCCCATGCGAATTGATATAAAGTAATGAAAAAGTAAAATCATTATAATATGAATAATAATATCATTAGACATCAGATTTAGTCTTGGCCCAGAGTTTAAGGCGTCTGACTAGAAATCAAATTCTCTCACGCAGTATAAAACCTGTCAACTGCAAACGACCATTGTTTTGCTTAAAAATATCTGTTTTTTAATTAACCTAAACAAATAAAAACTATAAAATTTAGTCTGTTTTAATGCCTAAATGATGATTTATCCCACATAAAGAGGTTTCCTGCAAAACTGTCTGAGAAGTAGATTGAATTATATTAAGTAATTTATATCAATATAATCAAAATCAATAGTCGACTTGATTTAAAAATTGACAAAATAAAATTATTGTTTGAACTTTTGAAAAAAAAATCATTTTGTATTTTATCTTTTTTTTCTGATGTAATTTTTTCTACTTTTGCAAGGAGATTTTTTTAAATTGTTTAATGTTTTTACAGCTCCCAATTTTGTCAGTTCAGTAACGCACGGGGAATATATTTACTTCTTCTTCAGGGAAACGGCAGTAGAATTTATGAACTGCGGAAAGGTAAGTCTCGAATAAATGCTTATTTGCCAGACGGTTCTTTAATATTAATTTATTTTCAGATAATATATTCGCGAGTGGCGAGGGTTTGCAAACACGATAAGGGCGGACCTCATCAATCAAGAAACAAGTGGACCACTTTTACTAAAGCAAGACTGAATTGTTCCGTCCCTGGAGAATATCCGTTTTATTTCGATGAAATTCGTAAGTCGATTTTTTTTGCAAATTCGCACGAAAACGGTTCGTTGCCTTTTTGGATATTTTTAAATCGTCATCCATTGTTCAGAAAAAAAAATTACAATTCTGGGATGCGCATAAAGTGGGCTGATATTTTTGGTTAGTTGTACATTGAAAAATAATACATTTTGTTCTGCTTTGTTTCACTAAATAATCGTATAATACTTAAGAGCACGATTATTTAGAAATTTTTGATTGTAGAGTATTTCCTTCATACATTTTTTTGAATGAACAATTTTTTATTACTTTCAAATTACGTGGTTTAAATGGAAGAAAAGTAGCGTATGCATATGTCAAGAAATAATCTAGTTGTGTTTTATTTTAAATCGTAGATAGAGGGAGGAAAAAGAGAATGTCCATTTTTGAAAATCCACAATATTGTCCTTATTATAGGAGTTGAAATGTTCACATTTTCAATATATTTGTAAAAGGTTACGGCGATGCTTAAAATGGTTTCAAAGTAAATTTAGGTCTGCTATGTTGCGTGCGGCCGAAGTCAACTTTTGTTTTTCTTATGGTCGCCATATTGATTTTCCACATTTTCAAAGTCCTGTTTAAAAATGCCTTTCAATCATGTGTGTATGTTTGGTCAAGATAAATTCGGAAAAATAGCAAGAATATATAGTATCGATTCAAAATAAAACAAAGCTAGAGCTTTGTAACACACAACACTATGGTATATAATATAAACAAAAGAAAAAAATAGAAAATATCGAAACTAATCTCGAAAATTACCTGCATTTTGCTTGTTGCCTAAACAATTCTTGTATTAATTTCCTTTCAAAAGGTAATGCTGATAGGACTTTCACCGAAAGAGGAATGGTATTGTAAAGTTTATAAATATCGTAGGAAAAGTTTCTGCGAATAAAATACCAAGGAGTGCAGTCTACGTTCCACTATACGATCTGGAAATCCGTAGGAGATATGAAAAAAACATTTGTACAAAAGTTTCTTGGACTCTAGTTAAGATTTAAAATATTATAATTTTGTTGATACAGGGTGTCCCCCCCCCCCTAAATTCAACACCCTATAAGCAATTCCTATTCAATTTTTTTTTCATATTTTGATTGCCCCATATAAAATTGTGTTGTGGCGCTACTGACCCAGGTATTGCAACGTAAAAATTTAACCACAGACTAAGGAGTTGATGCATTACTCAATCAGTTTGCCAGATGCGTCTCAGCCTATACAGGGTGTCCTAAATAGATTGGGCCATTTTGGCGAATTCAATTAACATCTCAAGATTTTCAAACGGAACACACTATATTTTTATTCAGATATCAGACGACAAAAAATAAGGTAAGTTTGTAATTTATCTTATATTTAAATTTTACTTACTTTTCGAGATATTCGAGGTTTAAAAAATTTCGAAGTTAAAAAATTGAAAAGCATTGTGACGCGCTATACAATGTATATTGCAGAGGATGGACAATATATTGAAAATATATTACAGTATCACCATATATTTTTTTTTTAGTTATTTGTTTTTGTTTTTTTCGTTTTATAGGTTTATTTATTCAAATTTGTTACCTTGTGTAGTTAGCCTATAAGCTTTAATAATTTATTTTTGTTTTTAGGTATTTTCAATCAGGCTAGATAATTAACTATTAAATGTTTCTTTAAATATTAATCCTCAAGTTTTATCTGTTACAAGTGTGTAGTATAGAGTCAATTTTTTTTCAAAATATCAACGTTATAGTGGACACCCTGTATTGTTAGCAACAGGTTTTATTCGTATATCTGGAGTATTATATCTTTAAAAGACGTCGTATCACGTCTTTGCAATTTAAAAAATACCTAATATTGAGCTTTAAATTAAACAAGAATTTATACAGGTGTTTTCTTCAACCTCGAATATTTCAAGAAATAAGTAAAATTTAAATATAAATTACAAACTTACCTCTTTTTTGTCCTGAAATTGACATCTTAATAAAATATAGGGTGTTCTCTTTGAAAATCTTGAGGTTTTGTAATTGGGTTCGCCAAAACGGTACCACCTATTTGGGACACCCTGTAGAAGCTTTAATAATTTATTTTTGTTTTTAGGTATTTTCAATCAGGCTTGATAATTAACTATTGAATGTTTCTTTAAATATTAATCCTCGAGTTTTATCTGTTACAAGTGTGTAGTAGAGAGTCGATTTTTTTTCAAAATATCAACGTTATAGTGGACACCCTGTATTGTTAGCAATAGGTTTTATTCGTATATCTGGAGTATTATACCTTTCAAAGACGTCGTATCATGTCTTTGCAATTTAAAAAATACCTAATATTGAGCTTTAAATTAAACAAGAATTTATACAGGTGTTTTCTTAAACCTCGAATATTTCAAGAAATAAGTAAAATTTATATGTAAGATAAATTACAAACTTACCTCTTTTTTGTCCTGAAATTGACATCTTAATAAAATATAGGGTGTTCCCTTTGAAAATCTTGAGGTTTTGTAATTGAATTCGCCAAAACGGTACGACCTATTTGGGACACCCTGTAGATGCTGAGGCGCATGTGGTTAAATTTTCATTGTCATTGGATGGGAAAAATGTCGAAATATACAGGGTGTTCCATTTAAAATAACAAAGTTGATGTCGCGGGGGACACTTATAATATTTTAAATCTTCAGGAGGGTCCAGGAAACTTTTGTACTAAACTTTTTCTCGTATATCCTATAGGTTTTCAGTATATTACTCATGAATTAAGCCTGTTATTAAGGATTAAATATGTGGATGTTGTTGAAGGGCATTAAATAAATAAATAATTAAATACTGTACTGTACTGTTTTATCCAGAATCAACTAGCGGCATAATCGAGGGCCAGTACGGAGATGCGAGTTCGAAAATAATATACGGGGCGTTGACAACCCCTGACAACGCGATAGGAGGATCGGCCATTTGCGTCTTCCGCATGGACGACATCGAGGACGTTTTCAAAGGGCCATTTAAACATCAAGAGGGCATCAACGCTAATTGGTTGCCGGTACCGGACAGTAAAGTACCCGAACCACGTCCAGGAGAATGCGCAATCGACAGTCGCATTTTGCCCGATGCGAACGTAAATTTTATAAAAACGCATCCTCTTATGGAACGGGCCGTGCCGTCGACTTACGGCAAACCGATTTTGATTAGAGTCAGTTTGAACTACAGGTTTACAGCTATCGCTGTCGATCCTCAAGTTAGAACGGTCAACGACAAGACGTACGACGTCATTTACATCGGTACAGGTGAGTCGAAAGATTTATCTGTTACTTTTACTTCCTTTTCCAGCGGCCCGCATCAACTCCACGATACTGACGTGTAATATAACACAGAGGCCCATAAAAGTAATGGTATACATGGCAAAATAGATTGTTTAGGTAGAAATATTAAGATTTAACGACACTTACCTTAGTCCAAAGCAAAAGTTGCAATTTCATTTTTGATTTTTTAAAATAAAAATAATATAAGTTTTATAAAATAATATAGTTGGAAGTGGTAAACAAACCAATCAATAAGGCAATTATTTACCTGCACTCAAATAGTAAATGTAAGCGGCAAAATTTACATAGTGTACAAAATTGTAGCCAAATGAGTATTTCTACTAAACTTAAATTGTGAACGGAAGATGTAACATTTTAGTAATGAGTAGTCGTAAAGAAATTGAAAGTCAAAATATTAGAATACATTCTGTTTTATTACGTACTGTGTAATTGTAATTATATAAATAATAAATATACATTAAATAAAAGTAGCCGTCACAACGTCGTTGAAGTTTTTGCACGTTGTATGGACCTTCCTAATTTTTTTTCCATAGTACTTCATAAGTTATATATCTACGTCCCTAGTAGCTGTATGTTTTAAAGCGTTCCTGCTGACTACTTCATTGCGCTGCTTTATCTCAAAATACTTAAAAAATATACTTTATTATTTTGCCTGAAAACACCCTGTATAGTATTAAAGCGTTTTTGAATTCTTCAGAGCTTCCTAGGCATATTTTGAATTTCTGCCAAAGTGACACTTGCACTTCAATATATGTTTATCGATTTGTCCGACTGAAGGCCTTTGTTATAAATATTTGGGGTTGAATTAGTGATATGTGTTGATATTTCAAATATAAATAAGTAGAGGGCCCAAAATTTAATATTCAAGATTTGAATGGAAAATCAAATTCAAAATTAAGTCATTTTTTTCAAAAAAATGAAGAATTTACCGTCTTTTGACGCTTCTTTATGAATATTATAAATCATCCCAGGTAATTAGGTTATTAATATATAAGTTTTTAAATTTGTTTAATTTCTAAAAATGGAAAATATCCAGACGAAGTACTATTATTAGTATTTCTTTAATTATTTTGTTTCCTTTAGGAAAACGTTTTTTGGACTTGATATATTTTTTTTTGTATTAAAATAGCCACAACAATTAAAAAAAGGCCAAGTTTAGGCGCATTTTTCATCGTCTTAGGATTTGTACAATGCCAAAATATTTGATTTATATGTATTTATTTTATAAAATTATGAAAATTGGGTATTGATTGAAAAAAAAATCTATTAACGAATTTTTCGTTTAAAATTGTAATGTTACTTTTTTATCACCTTGTATTTATTTATTTGTAAAACATTAACACACAGCACTAAAGCGGACCCTTATATAATGAAATCGATCACAAAGACTTTCAGTCGGAGAAATCGGTAGAAAATCGAAAATATATCGGGAACTTGGGAAATATCGTCTAAAATTTTTGGAAATTTTCAAAAATTATTTAATTTATAGAAATTACGAAAGTTGTAACTTATTTACGAAAATACAAACACGCTGTGTATGTAATAATATAATCTTTTAGAAGTATAACAAAATTCAAACAATTTTTGTTTTTAAGTTTTTTTGATATTTTTTAGAGATTCTGAGATCATAATAATAGGGCTGCCCTATGCAGAGTGTAAGTTTTTAGTCAGAGTTTTTACTGTCTCCTTATGATGGGAAGCTCAGTTATATATACAAAATTAGGATTTTAAAATGTGATTTATAATTATTAAAACTAACCAAGACAGAGTAAGTGTAAGTTAAGTTTTATATATTTGGTAACAATACATTAATATAGTTCATAATAAAATAAATATTTTATTATAATAATGTTAAAAATCTAATAGATGAACAAGCATAGGAAGTATCTAAAACGGGTGAAAATTATGGAGAAAAATATCAGATCCGTATTTAAGATTTTCTGACGGTCCTGGAAAAAAAGCTAATTTTAAATTTTCCGTTTTATTTCTGTTATTCTTATTAAAAATGGTAATAGTTATAGCATGTCTTTATTGTTGTTCCAATTGGTCCTCCCAATCATCTTTTTTGTTCCTGATTCTTTCCAGTACTATTTCATTGGTCAATTAATCTATCCATCATGTCCTTCTGTATTCTTTTTTGCATATAGTATAACTTGATATCCAGTTTGAAGTTGCGACGCAGACAGTAAAATATAATTCGGGTTCCCCTTTCAGACGATGGAAAAGTGCTCAAAGTGGTCAACGTACCATCGGAAAATTCGGCCAAGGCGGTTGTGGTGTCGGAAAATGAAGTTTTCGCTAGAGGTGTGCCGGTCAAACAGCTAACTGTAGTGTCCGGCTACGGCAAAGTAGTTGCAGTCAGTAAAGGTGAAACTAAGCTGATCACGCTGAACCATTGCAAGAGTATCGCGACATGCAAGTAAGTTTTCCTTTAAATATTCAGTTTTTCACTTTCTGGATTTATACTAATACTAAATCTGATAGGTTTTTAAAAAAAAATTACTACTTTTTTCACTTGCAAAAAAATGACGACAGCGAAATTTGTAAACTCATATTTGATATTAGCCATATAAAGTCTGTTCATAGATATAATAAAGCGACTAACTGATACGAATTAAGGAAAAACCCAGGCAAGCTGTAAGAATGAAATATGGCCAAACAGGTCGGTACTTTGCTTAGAAATTAATTATTTGGGATTTTGTTAGGAAAGATACTAAACAATATTTATTTATTTAGGTATGCATTTATTTTTAAATCTAAAATAAAATTACAAATTATTTTTATTACCTACTTAAATTACTTAAAATTATTCACATAATATATAAGTATCACTATCGCTATCATCGCCTGTTCTAATTATTTCTTGTTCTATATTATTTGCAATATGGATAAACCATTGTTCTACTTTTTCTATATGTTTAACATAATTTGCCCAACTTTGTGGAGGGATGTTAAAAACTTTGGTTTCTATAAGTTTGAGGGCATGGGAGTTAACACGGGGAAAAACATTGTTACGACGAATGAATGGCAGATTTCAGTTGGTGCCAAACATGTTCAATGGGATTAAATATACAGTGGTAAGGTGGAAGCCTTAAAACTGTATGCCCTAGATTTTTTGCATCACAGACTAGCTAGCTTCAAGCTTTGTAGAACCTCAATTAATTGCTATTGGGTATAATCTTCGTGAAAATAAATGTCGTTATAATACATGTAGTTTTGGATTGTTGCTTTTGTGTCACATGAGGACGCGGTTTTAGTCAACTGTCTACTGTGATAACTTGCATTGTCCATTACAATGACGGTATTAGGAGGAATGTTTGGAACTAGTTTGTTTTAAACTAATTCAAATAAATCAGCGGTGGTGTCTTCATGGCAATCCAGAGAAGACTCTTTAATATTTTTCGCAGACAGAGAAAATCCGTTTGGAATCCAACCAACTTTAGAGCCAGCATGCAAAATAGTTATTCTTTTACATCTTTTTGATGGCTCGTTTGTTGATTTGAGTCAACCCGTTTTTCCGGGGTATCATAAGTGTCGAACCAGGTTTCATTCAAGTAAATAATTGGCCTTTGTTGATCTCTGTAAATCCTAATTTTTTCTAGATATTCCAGTGGCCATTTCCGAATTCTAAAAGATTCCATTAAAACTTTCCTTTTGTCAATTTCTTTAAATCTAAAACCCATGTGTTCAATACACTTCCATAAGGTAGTTCTGCCACATTTAACACTGGTTTCATCTTTTTCAAGCCTCCTAATTAAGATATCTACCAACGGAAAATCCGAGAGTCTATAGAAATATATAAACAACTTAACAATCTTAACCACGACTCAGGTCTCTACCTGTCACCAATATGGGAATCAGTCATCCGTGACGGTGTTTCTACCTCTCATTAGGCCCCCCCTCAAACAATATATAAGCAGGTACAGAGTAAAATACGAGCCAGTTTCATATATGTCATATACCTATTTTTAATCCTTTGACATTTATTTTAACTTTACCAATATTTACCTTTCTGCTTTTCTAAGACTATTACTATAATATTGATGACAAAATGACATTTTCCAATTTTTACCTGACAACGACAAATTAAATACAAAAACTAAGTAGGGATTTTCGTAAAGCTTAATTAATTGATATGATTTATATACTGGGTGAGGTGAGTCGATTTATTTTTGACTAACTTTAACTAAATTTAGCCAAATTTTGTGCCCTGGGGTGGTCGTCGTGCCCCACTACCCCCCTATTTATAATGTTATATATAATAATTATAATTATGTATTAAAAATTGTTTAATAAAAAAAGCGTTGCTGATAAGTAACTATTTTTAAAATTTTCGTTTTAGGCAAAATCCATCGAATTATCCAAAAAACAACACTTTTCATAAACTAATTATGTTTCGGTTATAATAATATGGAATAGCTTTTTATAGAATTTTTAAGGGGACTATTTTAGTCCTGGTATTACGCAAAGGGGTAAAAATGTACAACTAACCAAAATTTATAATTATAATAACAAAAAAAAAATGGTTAATTTTTGAGGTGGGTCTCATTGACCCCCCCCCCCCATCATACAATATTTTGCCCAAAAAGATCTTAAATTGTAGTTTCTTAAGTTACATTTACATTAGTCTTTATTAAAACTGGACTTGTTCCCTATTTTTTTGTTTCTTTTTGCCGCCGAAGCTGGTGTTTTACTGATTTGACATGCGGATGCACAATACATTTTTTATCTGCACGAATATGTAAAATCCAAAAAAGCAATAAATAATTTAGATTTTGCTTGAATATGTAATGTTAACATTTCTTTTTTTTGCAGTGAATGTTTGGAATTGCGAGACCCTCACTGCGCGTGGGACCAATTCAAAAACCTCTGCGTGAGCGTAGACGCCGTAACCTCATTCAGATACCTCGTTCAAGATGTGAAACGAGGAAACGGATCGAAGTGCAAAATGCAGTCCACCGATAAAGCGTTAGAAAAGGAAATCGACGATAACAGCATAGTGGACAACGCAATAGACGAAGAAAGCAAGAGCAGCGCTGAAGACTTGTTGCTCAGAATTGATAACGAGTCAGCGGATTGTAACGATGTGAATGCCGATTACAGAACAGGCTGTTCAACGATTAGAAAATCGGAATTTTCTTCCGGGACTTTGTACGGCGGCATCATTTCAGCAGCGATGGTTGGACTCTTGGCGGGGTTTGTGGGGGGTTACTGCGTTTCGAGAAAATTTCACACGCATTACCCCAGCGCCCCGTTCATCGAGCAACACAATCACTTGGATAGGTGAGCAAATTAAACACTTTTAAAGGGAAATACTCGTAATCAGAACTAATGCGACTTTCATTAAAAAAAGATAATAGTAAAACACTCACATGGGGATATGTGATATCGAATGAGTTTTAAAAATGAGAACTGAGGCTATTTTTATTAAAAAAGATAATAGTAAAATCCTCACATGAGGGTATGTAATATTGAATGAGTTTTTAAAAATATTTATCTATTGTTCTTTTATATAAACATGATGTGAAACGAAAATCTGGTATTATTAATAATAATAATAATAACACAGGTGTTGATTGAATTGAATATTTAATTATTTTAAAGTAAAAACTGTTTTTTTACTTTATGTACGATTTAAATTTGGAATTAAACACTTTTATGGAAAAAAATCTACTTTCTTAAAGAGATAAATGAAAACTAACGCGATTTTCGTTAAAAAAAGGTAATAGTTAAAAACTGATGTCCAATGATTTTTGAAAAATATTTGGCAATATTTTTTTTTACATTAATATGATTTACAAGTATTAACTGCATTAACAATAGTGATAATAATCGTAATATTAATAAAGGTGTTTATTGAATTGAATTTATGAAATTACTTTATTCTAAAAACTGTTTTTTTCACTTACTGCTAAATTTATATTTTTTGAATTAAACACTTTCAAAGGGAAATTCTCCTTTCTTAAAGAGATAAATAAAAACTAACGCGGGTTTCCTTAAAAAAAAAAGATAATTGAGAAATATTTATCAATATTTTACATTAATATGAATTAAAAGTAAAAATTTGTATTTACAATAATATCAATAATGATAATAATATTAAAGGACAGTTTGTTAAAAACTGCCAGAAAAACCCCAAAATCTGAACATTTAAACCACGAATATTGTGAAAATATTGGAACAGGTCAAAATATTAGGGCCTTGAAATACCATCTGATAAACTTGCAACCATTTCCATCAGATTTAATAAAAAATGCTCAAATGTTCCAATATACGATGGTCAATTAAAAATTAAAACGGAACACCTCCAATCCCAAAAAAGTACAATGGAGCCAGGTTACCATAGTTTTTATGATAATTTTTGTTTCCTTTAAACAACTAATAAAAAAGTCCGTTTTTCTTTCAAATTAAAGTAACTTATCGAAATCTAATGCAAAAATCATTTTAAAAAAATATTTATTTTACATTAACGTTACACTGTAAAATTTACATTTTTGGACTTCATTCATTTTTATGGGACAATTTATTGTTGTACCAGGAATGCAGTTCAAATTACAATAATTATTAATTAATACATAGCCAACAAACTTCTGTTTTTAAACAAAATGAAGGCCAACATCAACGATCAACTATAGATTTGCTTAAATTTTTTAAAAGTTTTAAAGTTTTAAAGTTTTTTGGTTAGTTTAACTTTAACTTGTTTTTTGTATAAGTTTTAAAATAGAAGCCATGCAAGTTTGATTTAGAAATGTAATTTTAAAAATTTAACTGCTTTATTGGTACTAGATACTTGCCAGTTCATTTCAAAATTAAATTTATGTTTTTTATTCTTGGTGATGGAAAAAAAAATGATTTGTTTCATATACTGTGTATGCTGATTGCAATTATTTGTTTTTTCCAGACTGAACGGAAATCAGAATAGTTTTTTAGCCAGACCGACCAAGACGGTTAACCTGGACGTCCTCAACGTATCATCCGACACTTTGCCGCCAAAGAAAGACAATCTGGGATCGTTAAAAAACTTAAACATAACAAACGAGGGGACGCTGCAAAAAATCAAGAAGACTTACATTTAGTCCCCGGTTTGATTTGATTTTATTTTTCTCGTTAAAAGTATATTTTTGTACCTGCTCTTTTTTATTTTTTACTTTATATAGACTGCCTTCGACGCTACGTGTGGTTTTAAGTAATGAATCTCATTTTTTTCGCTTTAAGGTGAAGATTGTTAACGAAAGCTCAATTGTGTTATGTAGTTTAATTCGGAGATAATAATGATAATAATAAGCACAATAATCACGGTTTCATGCATATGTTTAATAGACCATGTATAAATAATCCCCACAATCTTTAAGCGCACGACACTCATTTTAATTCGGGATTATTTTTTAGTATTTTGGGGCGGAAAACAAAAAGTGATCCCACATATTTTAGCATATTTTTGCTATATGAATGATAATTTTGCTTCCTGTTACGCGAATAATTAAATGGCAATATACATACGTCTTTAATTAGGAGCACTCGAATAATTTTCGTGTGTGCTAAAATGTTTATTTTTTTAGTATAATGAGTGTTAATTTAGATGTCTGTTTTTAAATTTTTAATTATATTGTCGAAAGCGAGACGAGTTATTCCCAAATCGACAAATATTTCGTTTCGCTTTATGTGATGATGTTTGGAATGATATTAAACGTTACAGAATAGTTGATAGAATTTATAGTAAGTTATACGCGCCTCTTTTTTTGAATCGCGAGTCGAAATTATGGTTTGGACTAGTTCAATAAGCATTTTTTTTGAAAAAATTTCAAAAATTAACGCGTAGTACAAAACGAGAATAAGAAAAAAACGGTGCGGTGTAACGATTTTAACGGTTTAGTGTACATAGATAATTTTATTTTAGTTTTCAGGTACAGGTTTGGCTGTGATCTACGGAAAAAAAAATCTACATTGCCTTTTTATCTTGTAGGGGTATGAAAAAATAATGGGATAATTCCTCAGAACAAAAATAAGGGAGGAGATTATTTTATTATTTTTTCCGACGAATTGTATTTTAATATTAACATTCCAATAGCTACTTTGTAATTAAATAAATAAACGTAATCAAGTGAATTTAGTGTTTTGATTTGGTTTAACTTATCTATTTTTCTTTTATATAAACATGATTTGAAACGAAAATCTGCTATTAATAATAATAATAATAATAAAGGTGTTTATTGAATTGAATTATTAAATTATTTTAAGGTAAACAAAAAACTGTTTTTTCACATTATTTAAAATTTTGCAAACTTCTGGTAATGAAAACTGAGGCGATTTTTATTAAAAAAAGAAAATAGTAAAATCCTCACATGGGGGTATGTAATATCGAATGAGTTTTTAAAAATATTTGTCTATTGTTCTTTTATATAAACATGATTTGAAACGAAAATCTGGTATTAATAATAATAATAATAATAACAAAGGTGTTGATTAAATTGAATATTTAATTATTTTAAAGTAAAAATTGGTTTTTTTACTTTCTGTAAAATTTAAATTTTATTGTGATAATGACAGGCACACACACAGAGACACACTTAGGCATTTGCTTTCTAGCACTAACACATACCTATGGAAAAACAGACTGACATGCACACCCCCATAACCTCACTTACACACACAGACACACACACACACATACCTAGGCAAATACATCTCACAATCATGTGAGAAAGTTCTACACACGCCCCCACAAAGGCACGTCCTACATACACACACACACGCATACGCTTTCTCTCTCGCACCACTGACTTACATACCTCCACAGAACTTCGCACCCCCACCCATACAAGCACTCACACACACAGACACACATACCTACTACATGCACACAAGTATTCGACATCTTACTTTGGGGAAAGAAAGTCTTTAAATATTTGCTTCTTGTATTTCCAGTTATTCGGATTTGAGGGACAAAAAACCCTTAATCTGTCGTCGATCCTGTTCACCATCGCGATCCAGACAGAGAGGAAGAGGGGCCAGCACTGAAATCGTCAATTATAAATAGAAATGTACAATTTGTTATTGTTTTGTAATTATTTTTGTCAATAAATGTGTAAAATTCACGCAAGTCTATTATTTGTTATCGTTGTCGCTTTGCCTCGCTGTTTTTCACTAGATGTAACGAAGAGGTATCAAAAAGTATCAGGAGTAACAAATTTAAATTTTTGCGCATCCACCACGAAAATTCTCTTAATTGTTCTGATTTGGCCACGCCCCTCGTGCGCCTGATAATTTTCGATTCCCCCTCCCTACTTCTGCTCTCCTAATAAAAATGGTCAAAATTCAACAAATTCGATCAATTTTCTGCACAAAACTATGGTATCAATTAAGACAAGTTTTCTTGGCATATTGGTGGATGCGGTATCATTTTAAAAAAATGCAGCTCCTAATACATTTCACACCTCCTGCTCACTTCTGCTCTCCTGATTCAAGTCGGCATTTTTAGGAAAATTCGGCCGAAATTGTGCACAAAATAGCTTACCTTTAATCGAGCGCATCCGCCCAAATTTTAAAAATTTTCTAGAACACCATAGAAATCTAATTTTTTCTCGACATATTGGTGGAGGCGCAATCGTTTAAAAAAATGTTACTCCTGATACTTTTCATATCTCCTCGCCACTTCTGCTCTCTTGATAAAAATCGACAAATTTCAAGAAATTTTACACAATATTGGATATTGCGAGCACAAGTGGCGAGGAAGTATGAAGGGTTCTAGAACATTTTTAAAATTTTGGCGGATGCGCAGAAGTGACGAGGAGGTATGAAAAATATCAGGAGTAAGGATTTATTTTTAAATGATAGCGCATCCACCAAAGTGTCAAGAAAACTTGCATTAATCTCGCAAAATACATGATTTTGTGCAGAAATCAATCGATTTTGTTGCAATTTACCCATTTTTATCAGGAGAGCAGAAGTTTTGAGAAGTTATCCAAGAATTATATTTTTACGCTATTTTTCGGAAATTGACTGGGAGGGGCGTATTTAACTTGAACCAATCAGAAATTTTAAGTTTTACTTCTGATACCTCATCGGGAAGACGCATATCGATAAGTTGTCGATGTCTTTTTGAAATAACGCAAAATTAAATCAAACAAATATATTGAATAAATTGTATATATAACAGAGGAATGGATTACATTTTCATTTTAAAATAAGCTCAACATCGGCTCCATCTTCGGTGTGGTGACCGGGAAGACCGCGTATTGTCCAGAGTCGTTTTCATTTGAAGTGCTGAAACATACAACGTAGTAATTAGAACCTCTTAACTGAGAGTGGAAATACATGAACCAAAACTGGACATGGCCATAATCTCAAACGTTACTAATGATCATTCCTGTTTTAAGTTTCCGTTGCGTACACCAGAGAAACGTAATGACTAGGTGCGTATTGCAGTACGAACTTTGGACTTCAAATTCTCAGGTAGCTTCTTCTACTTCTGAAACAACGAGGTATAAATTAGAAAGGTAAAAATAAAAGCCAAAATGCTATGTCAATCATGAATCCTCCTTCTACACATGTCATACGCCTAGCGGCTGATTGTTGTCCAAGTTTTTGGAAACCTTTGTGCTGCAATTATTTTCCTGGAAACTCCAAGTTCTGAAACAACCACGTCCAAATTACAAATGCCATAAAAAAGAACATATAACAAAAATTCGAAGGTTGTCCCAATTTCGAAATGTTGATTATACCTTCTCCTTCCTTGTGGTAGTTACATTACATCAAGCTGCTAGGCTGGTCATTCTTGCAACTTCAAAAATCGCGTCTGTGGTAGATATCTCCTGGTTCTGAAACGACAATATTTGTATTAGCAACTGGAAATGAACATGAACCATTTACGGGGATCGTAGTTCTGATTGCAATTAATATGTACGCCTTAAATTTTCCACCTCCTGGGGATGAAAAAACAAACAACATTTTCAGAGTTTTTCTGAGACAACGATGTATACATCAGAAAGGTAAAAACAAAAGTCAGTCATACCTTCTTCCTCTACACATATCGAACTTTGGAGTTCAAATCCTCAGGTAGCTGCTTCTACTTCTGAAACAACGATGTATAAATTAGAAAGGTAAAAATAAGAGCCAAAACGCAATGTCAACCATACCTCCTCCTTCTACACATATCATATACCTAGCAGCTGGTTGTTGACTAAATTTCTGGAAACGTCTGTGCTTCTCCTGGAAACTCCAAGTTCGGAAACAACCATGTCCAAATTAGAAATGTGAAAAAGTAGAGAACATATAACCATTCCGAAATGTTGATTACACCTTCTCCTACCATACATATCTCCACACGCCCGGTAGCTGATTGTTCTTTAATCTTTCAAGCAACGCTTATGCCTCAATTATTGTCGTTGAAACTCCATGTTCTAAAACAAAAAAAAATCACATTATATAAGTGCGATCAAAAAGAGCAAAGTTTACAAATGTTCTGGGTTCCTGCTCATCCGACCACCCTGTTGGCAATTTCAGTTGAGCTCTGAAGAAGCCAAGAGGATGATTGGCAAGAGAAACCCATGTGGATTGTAAACAGTAAGCAAATATTCACAAGAAAGAACGAATTAGCCACAATTAGAATGTGAAACCTTTGGTTACACCTACTTTTTCCAACTTGCTGACACTGCATCAAACTGTGACGAGCTGAGCAGCAAATCTTCTTTTGGACACTGTACGTCCTGAAACAATAACGGACGAATTAGAAACGAAAATAAAAAGAAACAATCCTTTGTTGCCCTGCCAAACCAAGGAAACGACGCATCAATTGTGCATTTGGAAGTCAGTCTTCGACAGTGTAGTGTAAGTATTTAAAGGTTGACAGAATGCTATTTCATATCTGGTTTTACACCTCATTATCTCAGGAATTCAGAAACTGAAATTTAAGTGGGCCTTAAAATCGTGCATCTCATTCAAATTCAATTCTCTTGAAGAACCCTTTTATTAATTATAATCATATTATTAATGCTGTTATTACATCTTTAAACTATATTACCGCGTTTAAAACTGTGTCGGAGCGGATTTCAGTCTATTTTTCACCCATTCTGATACTTCTGGGTATGCTTGTTTAGCAACGTCTACCGTATTTCATTCGCAACGATCCTTATCATCGTTGACATTCAGCATCCATTCATCACCGTGGGATGAAAAATTGGTTGCGTTTTCTGAATTTATTAGTATCTATTGTATCTATCAGTTTGGCTATGTTTATATTATCATCAAATTATTTTGGTAATAATTGTTATAACTTGTCCAAGTTATCTAAAGTGTTTAAACACTATTTTTGTGATAGCAGTGTTTTGATTCCTTTTGGTATAATTCATACTTGTAGATAAGACAAACTTTAATAACAACTTAATAATATAAGTCTCTGACACTATTCCTCGCATACTAACGTAAAGTACAGTGATCATAGTCTTTGCAAATAGATATTTATAATAATACAATATGGTCTATGGTAAAATTTCACTGCAGATTTTGCTTAAAACTCGTAAGTACTCCTAATGTATTTAGGAATTTAAGATTAACGGAGACATATTTTGGCCATTGGTACAAGTTAAAAAAAAACTTTCATACATTTAGCACTTTTGGGTCAATCTGTATAGTATGAAATTAATTTAAGAAGTTGTTATGTTAGCGGACGTCCAGTAATACAACTAGAAGCAGGTTAAGAATAATAAAAAAACGTGAAAATTTCGGTAAAATAAATCACCTCTATTTATCCTGTAAAATTTTCAACCCGAAACTGACAAAAGATACCCCAAAGCGAGCAGAAATATTAAGACTTGCCGTTGAAAGGAAAAAAAATGCATCTACTGTGACAGTATGTACAACCAGCACTATAAAAATAATAAATATAATTACAGATGCTGTGAAAAATAATTTAAAAAATGTCAGCTCGTTGTTTTTTAATAAGATATTGAAGAAATGAAACAGTAATGAAAAGAAAAAATAAGAGAAGATGCATCAAACTACCTAATAGTTTTTTCAAAAACAACTAACAGATATGTGTAATATTAGGGACCTTTTGCACTTTCTATAAAATTTCACCCTTTTGGTTATTAAATTTTCTGACGTTATTTTGAATTATTATTACTTTTGGAAATATTCATCTAAAATCATTAAAAAGTTGCTTTGGAAATATTTTCAGGGGAAAACAAAATGTTCCATAATAAAAAAAGCGATTTTATAACAGAGACTGTCAAGTGGTAACTAAAATGGCATGGGTCAGACTATCCGGTATACCAAATTCCACTAACTGTTAAGTTATCATTGAATAGGTTTAAAAATCGAGTGCGGAGATTTATAAAAGCGGGAGAGGAACTTCTGATCTATATAAACAATTTCTTTTGCATTTTCTCTTAATACGAGGGTCACTAGAAAAGTTCCCGACTTAACAATGATACAAGACATTTTTTCTCATTTTTTAAATTTGTTCTACATAGTCTCCTCAGCGATGCTCTCATCTCTCTAACCGTCCAAATAGTGACCAGTGCAAAACAATTGTTCACGAAGGTGATTGCCTCCTCCTCTTGACTTAAAATGTGCCAAAAATGTTCTAAAAACCACGCCTAAAAAAAGGCTGAAACTTTGGGAAGTAACTATCAAGATGTGCACAACTACGATCGCTCACTTTTAGCAACTAGTGCAGTCATCTTCAGTGTGAGGTCGGAAACTTTTCTAGTTGCCCTCGCACTTGAGTTTTAATGATATGTTACCAGTATTTAATTTTAGATTTATTTTAATATTTCCTAAATTTAAATTTATTATTAACTACTATTTATAACTTGTGTAAACGTTTATGCACATTATTATTACTGTTGTTATACTAAAGGGTGATTCAATAAGGGTTTCCACATTAAAATAATAAAAAACTCGGAAGAATATAAAAATATACAAATATCTTTATTTTTGACACAATTCAGGTTCTATGCCGGCTAATTCGCGTCTAATCTCGTGTTTCAGCTCTGGAATAGTGTTTGGTTTATTTCTATACACTCTGCTTTTTAGATACCCCAAAAAAAAACCTAGGGGAGTAAGATCACATGATCGCGGAGGCCAATTCGTATCGCCGTCAGGTGAGATAATCCGACCAGGAAACTTGCCCCGCAGCAATTGCATCGTTTCTCTGGATGTGTGACAAGTGGCTTCATCCTGTTGGATCAACAAATCTTCAATGTCCATACCTTCCAACTGCTCCCAGAAAAAATCACATATTATGTTTCGATAGCAAACACCATTAACCGTAACCGTATCCTCGAAAAAAAAGGGCCAATTATTCCTCCGTACCAAAATGCGCACCAAACAGTCACTTTTTAAGGATGCATTGCTTTTTGAACAATCTCTCTTGGATTTTGAAATCCCCAAATACGAGCATTGTGTTTGTTTACAAAGCCCCCCACGTGAAAATGTGCCTTATCGATAAAGATGATTTTCGTTGAAAAATGAACCCCTTGTTCTCTTATCCATTCTGAAAACACGCGGCGCTGTTGATGATCTCGAGGTTTCAACTCCTGAGTTATTTGGACTTTATATGGGCGTAGATGCAAGTCTTTTGTTAAAATTCGCTGTGTGGTTGAATACGTAAGGCCCACTTGCTGCGATCGATGACGAATCGATCTGTTTGGATCTTCGGCTACACGTTCGCGAACAATATCAATATTTTGATCTGACCGACCTGCACGAGCACGTTGAGGGATTTTGGGGCTAGTTACAGATCCAGTTTGCTCAAATTTCACATTCCAAATTGTCTTCTTAGAAGGTCGATTTTGCGCGCCAAAAAATTCACGTACAGCCCGAAATCCATTTTTTCTTGATCGACCATTTTCATAATAGGCTTGGACAATTTTTAGACGTTGTTCAGTCGTATATTGCTCCATGACTAATTTTGTTTATGTTTTGAGGTTAGAAATCTCATATGATAATAAAAAAATACAGTGGCGTTTCAAAAATATTTCAGTTTGTAATGCAGAAACTCTTATTGAACCATCCGTTAGATATATATTTGATTTTTTTACCATTAGAAAGGGAAGTTTCAATTCGATAGTGTAATTTTTTTTTTACATAACTATTATTAATCACGGTCATGTATTAGGCCAATTTAAATAAATGAATTTCATTGTGTAGGAATTTTTGTTTATGGATTTCTGAAAACCGCACCCGAAATTTTAGGGACAGTTAAAATAGGAGACGGCACGCTGGCAATCTTGGTCCATAAAAGGTTCCGGTTTTTGCCAGTTCCGTTATCTGGGGTAATTAATATTCATTTTCCCGAATCAAAAAAAAAAAAGACAAGGCTCGCGCTTCGCAGTTAGCGAAAACGTTTTATGTGCCATTCGGTCGCAATTATCTCGATTGAAATTTAAAAGAAAGAGTTATATAATAATACGCGGATAATATAACAATTTTAAATGAAAGTAGGAAAACTTTCGAGACGCGTTTAATAGGAAAGTGTTTGAACTGAGGTGGCTTTTACTTGAAAATCAATTTAACACAATAAATAAGAACTAAAAGTACATATTTTCACGAAATTATATATATTCACATGACAATTGTTTCGACAATACCGTGTCTTTTTCAAATGTAATATTTACAAACTACCTGCTACTATATATACCGAAAAACGACAATTCAACCTTAATTAATATTGTTGTGAGAATTTAAGTTTAATAATGGAGAGGTATTTAAATCTGATTGATCGTTAAGCAATACATTTGCATGTCTCATTTTGTTAATCTCCATGGATTCCAATAAATTTAATTTTCTACTTTTTGTAGCTGTATATAAAATATCAAAATTGTCGTCAAAAATGTGTTTTACTGTGTTTAAGTGTGTAGCATAATTAGAATCTAGACTATTGTTTATAAACGCTCTTAGTGCGTTTCTTGAAGGATCTACCTGATTTTTGCGATTTTGGACATTTCGTTTTATTTTTTTTTTAATTTTCCTATTGTGTTGTTAGTTCTGCAAGCTATTTTTAAACCACATTTTGACAAAGGTTTTGAAACTTTTTCACTGGGTTCTCCTATATATGTAATTGTTTTAAATTGTTCGTGTTCTGTATTAGGTTTCGGATAAATAGAGTTTACTGTTGTCTGGATGTGTTTTTTATTTATAATTTTATCGATAATGGACGGATTGTAGCCGTTGTTCAGAGCAATTTGTTTAATGATATTAAGTTCTTTGGTGTAATTTTCTGTTGAGAGTGGCGTATCTGTATCTGAAATATATGTCTCAGTCCGTGTGTGAAGGTTTATGGTAAATGGAAAAATTTAATTTGTTTTGTGTTTTCGTAATAGTTAAGACTCGAAAATTAATAGAGTTATCCTGTTCAATCTCTATCGTGAATTTTATACGATAATGTAAAGACATCATCCACGTATCTATACAACCATAGAAAACTTTTACTTAAAGGATGTTCTAGTATGATATTTTCCAAATTATCCATAAAAATCGCGGCTAACAAAGGACTAAGTGGATTTCCTAAAATCAAACCTTGCTTAGAGATATAAATGTCTCCATTAAATTCAAAATAATTTTGGTCTAAACACACTATTAAGCAATTTAATAAATCTTGTTTTACCAATTGGTTAACCTGTTTCCGAGTGAGGGTGAAATCTACTAAATCTATCACATCCATAGGTGGAATACTGGGAAATAAGTTTTCTACATCAAAAGACAA